AAAAGACGAGAAGACCCTGAGAACAAGGTTGGGCGAGACGGCAGTCTTTGTTCACGTGCTTTAGTGAAACTCATTGGTTGGTTTTTTTGTTCTTAGGACTTTATGTAAGCCCTCGTGGTCTGAGGCGGGGTAATTTCTATTGCACAGCAAAATGTGTGAGCATTAGGCCCCGTCCACACTAGAGCGGAGCAATTTGGGAACCCAGCTTTATTTCTACAATTAGGCCCACCGTCCACACTAATCCATCACCGAAACGGAGCTTTTTGAAAACCGCTCTTCAAACCGGAGGAATTTGAAAACGTCGGCTTTGCGTTTTTAATATTGCGAACGGAAACATTTTATTTTCTAAACGAATCTTTTGGAAAATGATGATGCCACGATAATCATGTGATTTCCCTGCTCGAGTCCTCCGCGAATACAAATCCAAAATGAGCGGTGATTGTTACTTTTTTTATATTTCTCCGGGGTAGTGTGGACGGACAACAATTGATGCGTTTTCAGAGTGAAAAGCCGTTTTCAGATTTCTCCGGCTTAGTGTGGACGCGGCCTTATTTATATGAAGACTATCCCTTGTGATTATTTTCTCTCACTTGTTGAGGCTAGGCGTCTTTTCTTGTGACACTGAATGCTAAATTGAATCCATCCTACATCCACAGATAAACTTAGTACCAAGAAAAAAATGGACAGCAAAGCGAACTATTCCTCTACAGAATCGAGCGACGAAGAAAAAGACTGGGGTAATTTGTTTCGATTCGAAAATAGCGAATATATTTATTTACAAACATTGTTTTTGTTACTTAAATGTTCAAATCGTTAAACAAAAGAATTCTTTGTTTCACCAGCCAATAGTTCTCTGTTTGGCGTATTAATAACAATAGGTGTCGTCACTGATATCTTTGCTATAACAAATTTGCGGGAAAACAACCAAAATGTAATTGTAGCGAGGTATAGTTAATAATTGTTTTGTAACGGTGTTTATGTACTTTTGCATACGCCTTTGTTAACTTGCTTTAAAAAAAATTATCGGTGATTTTTTTTTAGGACCTTGTGTACGCACTCGACGTCGGGGACGACGCCATTTTCATCTTACGTCAAAATGTGTAAGTATTTCTTGTACGTATATCCCTGATGATTATTTTCTGTAATTTGTCGGGATTTATTTCCTTCTCCTTACCTGAGTCTTCCTTGAATACAAATCCAAAATGAACACTGATTGTTGGGTTTTCAAATTTCTCCGACGTACTGTAGTGTGGTCGAAAAACATTCGAGTGAAAACGCAGTTTTTAAATTTCTACGGTATATTGTGGACGTGGCTTTACCTTAAGTATGAATATACCCCTTATGATTATCGTCCTTTCTTGTGAGAGTGAATGCTAAATCTAATTCATCTTTCGCCCACAGATGAACTTCTCAGGGCCAGAAAAAAGTTGGACAGCAAACCAAAATATTCCTTCGAAGATCGAATCGAGCGACGATGAAGGAGACTGGTAATTTACTTCGATTCGTTTTTGTAGCGTTATGTTGCTCGTACATGAGCTTAATTTTAGTCCACAGCGTTTCCAACCATTTCAAGACCCCTTTCAAGAAGGGCAATACTGAAGTCACCTGTAATTTCCCGAGAATTGCAGCCTTCTACAAAAACATGGCGTGCTTCGAAAATTAAAACGCCAGATCAGAAACTTCGAATTTCGTTCGTTAGCTTCATGCGAGCATTTGATTGGTAGAAATTTTAAGTCTTTACCATATTAGGAGTTACACCTTAGTTCCCAGTGGTGTCCGCGTGAATCTCTTGAAATAGCACGAAAAAGGACAAGGAACAACAAACACGGTCAACAAACAATTTGCATCAGTCTGATTTTGATAATAGATTATTCCGTAAATCTAAGCATGATAAAATGAAGTACGTCAATTAAATATTAACAGAATAATCAAGAGAATAATTAGTTCTGTTTGTAGCTTCTGTTCGAGATAATTTGGTGACTTTCTTTCGTTTCTAAAATAATTGAGTATTTCGGAGCGTAGAAAAGTAAACTAAAATGTTCAATTTGATTGGATCTCCCAGCTGTCTCTAGTTGCGCAAGTAACTCTCTCTAAGCTGCCACAATCGCAAAAAGTTGAAAATTAAGCGCTAACTGAAAAGGCTAAATTGCGAGAGAATTTATGCGCCCATCTTCACAATTCGTGTCCTTGACACCAGTTTGATTCTCGGCTGACTTTTGTCGTCAGGCTTATATTTTATCCCCGGCTGAAATTCGTCAGGTAATCGCAACAAGATTTTAGCCCCCCCTAACCGCGGGCTGAAATTTGAGCCCGGGCTGAAACTCGCCATGTAATTGATCACCCCCTAACTAGATTATGTTTAGGATTCGATGCGCGTTTGCAATTTTGTTCGGTTACAGTATGCCTCACAATCATGGCATAAGAGGCCTTTTTGCGACAGTTGGTCTGGTGACCGATACTAAATTCCTAAACTTTTTGCCGCAGCTAAATGAATTTCAAGGACTGGAAAGAACATGTTTTAAATAGCCAGAACCAAGAGAAAATGAGGGGATTCTCTTACCAGAACGCTTAGGACCAATTCCATGTAAGGTTGAGATTTAAATTTGAATATATTGCAAAAATAAGAACGATTTGTATGGAAGCGGGGAAGCTTTGCGCTCTTGAAACTTTTACTTGTCTTAAAGCAGTTTGAAAACTACAAATCCTTCTAATTTCTAACGTCCCTCTTCAAGGATATAAAGGTTGAGAGGACAATCTCGTTCCCTGTTGTATTTTGATGCCTTCCAGGCTTATTGAAAAGCCCTTTGAACTTGAAGGAGTTATTGTGGCCCCATGATGTTACCCGTAATCGGTAATGTTATAAAAACCCAATTTTTCCCGGGTAGATCTTCATGCATATGATACGATGTAATGCCCGTGTGCAACCCGTGTGCACGAGTATGTCTTGTGGCGTGTGCGTGTTAATTACTGGTATGTTACAATGTAATTACCCGTATGTACCAGTATGTTAGCGCAATGCTGTTACTCGTCCCTGACTCGTAAGATTTGTATGTATCCGTGTGTTACTTGAAAGCTCTTGAATGTATTTGTATGTTACCCATATGTTATTCGCAGTACTCATGCGGTGTTTTACTGAGTTATGATTGCTTTGCGAGTGTCCAATTCCGCCTAAGGGGCCTAGTCTGTTATCTTTACATCTTCCCTTTTCTTGCCATTTGGTATGTGCGAGATACTGATTAGAAACCGTGCCTTGCAAAATGGCCTTGTTCGGTTTTTAATTTTGTCGAGTGAGCAACCTTAAATCTCCTTTGCTAAAGCCCTTTACTTTAGGCTCTTTGGGTCTAAGATTTTATTTCTCTTAGTCTCTTTATGCTCTAAAATGTATCACAACCGCCTGTGGTCACGGAATTTCTTTTATATCTGAAGTGTCGCGTTATAATTGGTTGATATTTTAAGCTCTGGAACGCTGATCAACGTGTTATTGTTCTCCAATATTTTGCTTCAAGCACTTACAATGAAGCAGCTTTGGAGATCCTGAACAGTAGCAGGAAATGCTTATAGATTATTCTTGAAAAGAAAGAAAGAATCTCTCCCTTAGATACGAGGGTTGCTGGCCTTTCTCCCGTTTCAAGTATTTATGCTCTTAAGTGTTGCGGTCTTATTACGTTGCCAGTCTCGCAGCTCCTCAAGACGCAATGGATCCCAGAGTCGCAAAGCTCTTAGAGGGAAAAACTGATGAAGAGAAACTTCAAGTTATAGCATTGTCTTTTGGGTGCCTTTTAACAAGGCCAACAGCGGTTAACTCAAGCTGTGACCCGCCATTGAAAGGTAAGATTAGGCATACACTACAGCTATGATTCTGTTGTTGGTTGCATTAGCAATGTTTTCTTACGTGAATAAATTCGAACTGAATGCTAAATGAAATTCATCCTTGGTCTACAGATGAAGTCAGGTCGAAGAAAAACTTGAACAGCAAACCGAAATATTCCTTCAAAGAACTGAGCGACGAAGAAGAAAACTTTGGTAATTTATTTGGATTGGTATTTGTAGGACTTATAGTGTTACGTTGCTCGTTTATTTCTTCTAAGATCTCTCAGAGGGTGATCCGTCGTCTCAAAACCTTTCAATAACCCTTTCAATGTAAGTCGAGAAAATTTCCATATATTGTATTAATTTTATTAAAAAATTAGTTCCATCCAGATCATAATCTCTTGTTCCATGTCATACCTTCTTCACGCAACAACTCCGTTAACAATATTTTAAACATGTCAGTGGAACCTCGGTTTAACGAAGTCCCTAACGAAGTTAATCAAAGTTAATTTAACGAAGTTAGCCAGGAAAAAGTTGGACAGCAAACCGAAATATTCCTTCGCAGAATCGAGCGAGGAGGAAGAAAACTGGGGTAATTTATTTCGATTGCTATTAGTAGTGTTATGTTGCTCGTTTAACTCAGTTCTTCTAAGATCGATCAGAAGGTGAAGTAAACTGAAATACGTATGACGATAATTTTAGAGCACGGCTCTCTCAACACAAAATCATTTTAAGACATCCTCACGGGAAAATTTCTATATGCGCCAGAAACGAGGTATGAAAAATAATTATAGCTTTTTTAAAATTACCTTCACTGAACCTTCTCTACTTGATTAACCTTCCAATTTTCTCGGTCCCACCTGAACAGTTCCTTTCTTATCTGAACTAGATTCTTTTAAGGCATTTTGACTTTCCACGTCCTTATTGTTTAATACCTATAAACTATAACTTCGTTTTCTGTCCATCTTTACAGCTTTGGAAAAAGGCTTCAAAAAGGCTGGACGCTAACTTTATTTCCAGGGCCTTCTCCCAGGCGATTTTCAAAATGCTTTTGGAAAACGATGACGCCACGACAATCATTTGATTCCCTGCCCAAGACTTCCTCGAAAACAAAACCAAAATGACGGCTGATCGATTGTTGTGTTTCAAATTTTTTCGGCGTAGTGTGAACGGAAAACAATTGATGCGTTTCGGGAGTGAAAAGCCCGTTTTCAAATTTCTCCGGCGTAGTGTGGAAGCGGCCTTACTTATATGAATATACCCCTTGTGATTATTTTCTCTCACTTGTTGGGGCTCGGCGTCCCTTCTTGTAAGATTCAATGCTAATTTGATTTNGGGTAATTTCTATTGCACAGCAAAATGTGTGAGCATTAGGCCCCGTCCACACTAGAGCGGAGCAATTTGGGAACCCAGCTTTATTTCTACAATTAGGCCCACCGTCCACACTAATCCATCACCGAAACGGAGCTTTTTGAAAACCGCTCTTCAAACCGGAGGAATTTGAAAACGCCGACTTTGCGTTTTTAATATTAATTGCGAACGGAAACATTTTATTTTCTAAACGAATCTTTTGGAAAATGATGATGCCACGATAATCATGTGATTCCCCTGCTCGAGTCCTCCTCGAATACAAATCCAAAATGATCGGTGATTGTTACTTTTTTTAAATTTCTCCGGGGTAGTGTGGATGGACAACAATTGATGCGTTTTCAGAGTGAAAAGCCGTTTTCAGATTTTCTCCGGCTTAGTGTGGACGCGTCCTTAATTATATGAATATACCCCTTGTGATTATTTTCTCTCACTTGTTGAGGCTAGGCGTCTTTTCTTGTGACACTGAATGCTAAATTGAATTCATCCTTGGTCTACAGATGAAGTGAGGCCGAAGAAAAACTTGGACAGCAAACTGAAACATTACCTCATAGAATTGAGCGACGAGGAAGGAACCTTTGGTAATTTATTTGGATTGGTAATTGTAGGACTTGTAGTGTTATGTTGGTCGTTTATTTCTTCTTAGATCTATCAGAAGGTGATTCATATCAGGCTACGTCCTCTCAAACCTTTTCAATAGCCCTTTCAATGTAAGTCGAGAAAATTTCCGTCCTTTCTTGTGAGACTGAATGCTAAATTGAATTCATCCTTCATCCACAGATAAACTTAGGACCAAGAAAAAGTTGGACAGCAAAGCGAACTATTCCTCTACAGAATCGAGCGACGAAGAAGAAAACTGGGGTAATTTATTTCGATTGGTATTTGTCGTGTTACATTACTCGTTCAACTTCTTCTAAGATCGATCAGAAGTTGAAGAAACCTCAAACACATGAGACTACTTTCAGAGCACGGCTTCTCAAGTATGGTTGCCGGATTGTTGCAATATTTAATAACATACAATTTATATTCAGTAATTCATATTTTTGTTCAGTAATCGTCATTTTACATTCAATGTGTCACATTTTTGTTCAGTAAAACTCATTTTTAATTCAGTGATTCATATCAGTTTTGTTCAGTAAAACTCATTTTATGTTCAATGATTTTTTGTTATATTCAGTAAATGATAATATATTCAACTTAACAAATTGACGTCAGTTTTTTATGCGTCTGTCCTCTTATTGATGATAAATTGCGTCATAACATTGTCAGAGTTTACGGCGGAACCACTCGCCTGCGGCTCGTGGTTCCACAGTCACTTTGACAGTGTTATGACGCGTCCGCCTCGTCTGAAACGACTGTTACTGTAAAAACGTTTTTTAGCTATCCGAAAGTAACGGCTACCTGCATATATATGTAAATAACGGCTGCCCAAATGTAGCGGTAGCTTTTGGCTGCTAAATCCGAAAGTAACGGAGGCTTTTACTTTCGGCATTTTACAGTAAAATCATTTTGAGACATTCTCGGGAAAATTCCCGTATGCGCCAGAAACGAGGTGTAAAACGTAATTAAAGAAATTTTTAAAATTAGCTTAAGGAATCGTCGCCACTTGAATATTAACCTTTCAAGTCTTTAGCCCGGTTTCTCCGGCTGGCAAGAGGTTCCGGCCGATCAGTTCTTATCTAAACTAGACTCCATCTCGGAATTTGGACTTTCCACGTCCTTATTGTTTAATACTTAGAAATTGTAACTTCGTTTTCTATCTATCTTTACAGCTTTGGAAAAAGGCTCAAAAAGGCTGGACGGTAACTTTATTTCCAGGGCCTTCTCCAAGGCGATTTTGAAAATGGCGACTCGACGGGAGTATAGTCCTTTTAGGAAAGTCTAGAAGACCCTTTTTTCTGAGGACTTAATGTACCCACTCGTGGTCATGGGCGGGGTCATTTCCGATTGTACGTCAAGATGTGTGGCATTAGGCTCCGTCCACACCGCTACGACGGAGCAATTTGGAAACGCAGCTTTATTCCAGCGGTTAAGCCTACCGTCCACACTAATCAGTCACGAAAACGGAGCTTTTTGAAAACCGCTCTTCAAACAGGAGAAATTTGGAAACGCCGGCTTTGAGTTTTATATTTTGGACGGAAACATTTTTTTTTGCAAATAAGCTTTTGGAAAACGATAACACCACGATTATTATGTGCTTTCCCTGCCCGAGTCTTCCTCGAGTACAAGTCAAAAATGGCCACTGATTGCATTTTCTCTCGGTTCTTTTTAATTGGGGCTCTGCGACCCTTCTTGTAAGACTCAATGTTAAATCGAATTCATCCTTTGTCCACAGAGGAAGTTACTGCCAGGAAAAGGTTGGACAGCAAACCGAAATATTCCCTCGCGGAAACGAGCGACGAAGAAGAAAACTGGGGTAATTTGTTTCGATTGGGATTTGTAGTGTTATGTGGTTAAACTCCTTCTAAGATCTTCTAAGAAATCTCAAATACATGAGGCTACTTTTACAGCACAGCTTCTCAAACACTTTCAAGAC